TAACTGTCGCCAGCAATGAGCTCTTGATCCTGCTGTGGAAGCAGCAGGGGCAGTTTCCTGGGTTGCAGTGAAACCTCCAGGAAACCACAGCTCAGACCTCTCTTGACAGAGGGGGGATCCGAAGCTCGGGGCCAGGGTGACTCCTGGTGTCAGGCAGCCAGTCAGTGACGGGAGACGGGGACCTGAAAATTCTGTGTGATTCACACTCCCAGGCCTATCACCAAGTTTCGTTATTTGACCGGGTGCCCATCTTGTGACTAACAGCAGGATGGTCTGGGGGTTCATTATTCCTTTCCCCATCTTCTGCCCAAACACCCCAAATCCTACACAAACTGCATCTCTAGTGGCAGAAAGTAGCCGAGCTCCCTGACCACGTGAGCCTCTGAGTCACATGTGACCAGCCAGGTTCTGCCTCTGCGCCAGGGCAGATGGCCTCCTCATCCTTCTGGCTTCCAGACCTCCAGGCTCCACCTCACAGCTGAAGGCCTGAGGTCCGGAGGGAACCAGGTGGAGGACGGGTCAGACGCCCTGCGAAGACACCCCTACCCTCATCTCCTGCAGCTCTGAGTGAGCGGGCGTGTGTGCATCTGGCTGCACGTCACTCAGCCTCGTGAGCGGCGCTTACTTCTGTCAGGCCCAGTTTTCCTTCTCAGTAACGTAGACCCTGATAGGGTTGTTTGGAGGGTTCAATGAGACGTTGAAAGGAAGTGTTTAAGTCACTGATCATTAATTCACAGATAACAGATATGAATTTCTCCTGGAAGGACTGTGCATGTCTTCCAAGCACGAGACTAAACCTAGAATGATCGCCGGGGCAAACACATTGCTTCAGCTTTTGTAGTGTTTACCAGAACTTTTTGAAATGAATTCTGCTGCTAAAGACATTAAAGTCTTTTTGTTTCAGTTGTTTTTTGAAACACTTCACAATTACACACATCATAAATCGATACGTAAGGAAAATACACAGTTTAAAATTGCTTTGATTAAAAGATTCTTAAGGACGTATTTTATTCAAACTCTGAAAAGGTTTATGTCGTTGATGTTTAGTTTGCCAATTTAACTTGATTATTTTATTATTTAGGATTAGATTTAATTGTAACAAACTCTCAAAGTGATTGTGGCTTAAAGACAGAAGCTGGTATTTCTCTTGCAGCCAGGAGGTCCACGGGCAGGCTAGTTCACCCCGTGTCATCTTGTTCCACTAAGCTGGCTTCCTTAGTGGACACGGGAGGAGGATGGGGCCAGAGGGGGACCTTTCACTTCTCTTTACGTCTCCTGGGCCACGACTTAATCACACGGACACATTTACCTGCAAGGGAAGCTGGGAAATGGAGCTTTTACTTCAGCTGGCCATGGACCCTCCTAAACGTCAAGGGTTCTGGTCCCACGGTAAGAGATATTGGGGCCAACTAGCCAGCTGTACCTTGGACATCCTTCTCTGTCTCAGAATTTTTAGTAAGATTTTGTTTCCTGCTAGTTTATTTTCTGGAAATCCACATACACACAATGTTTTCATTTTACTTTCTGCTCACATTTAATGGAATCACATCTGCATTGAACATCGTACTTGTGGTGAAGCCATTCTTTTCTCGTTAAGTGAGTTACTACATGTAACCAGTGAGTTTAAAGCACCTCGAACTTGGAACAGTTGCCCGAGGTGTCCCACACCTGCCAGGTCTGGAGGGACCTCGCACACGCTCAGTGCTGACCCGCCCGCCTGCCCCGGGGTGGCTGTCAGGTCCCTGCAGGATGCTTTACCCGCGCCCGGTGCCAAGTTCTTCCTTCACGGCTCTCCCCAAGCTCAGCTGGTTAGGGTGGGTGCATAAGAGCCCATGTAAAGAGGGGACGTAGGCGACATAGGCCACAGAATTCGACGAACCCTCTACAGCAGGGGTCCCCACACCCCGGCCCGCGCGCCAGTACTGGTCCATGGCCTGTTAGGAACCGGGCTGCACAGCAGGGGGTGAGTGGTGGGCGAGCGAGCGAAGCTTCATCTGTGTCTGTAGCCGCTCCCCGGCGCCAGCATCACCGCCTCAGCTCCACCTCAGCTCATCAGGCGTTAGATTCTGATGGGAGCACCGGTCCCTGGGGCCACAGAGGTTGGGGACGGCTGGCCTGCAGCACCTCTGTCCACCCCACATTCTGCCCTCCTGACCCTCAGGAAGGACACCTGAGAGTTGGCCTACAGCCTCTC